ATGTTACTAATGTACTTTCATTTTTTTCCTGCCAATAAAATGTGACCTGTTCCGTGAAAATCAGTCATGATGCCATTTTTTTCAGTAATTTGGTTTCAGTTTGCATTAGGAAGAGCAAGCAAAGCTCTTTACTTTGATTTATCAGTCATTTTGTTATGCTGATGTCTGCAGACATTTTTGATGTGGGTGAAAATACTGAGGGCTGCTACTTATTTCCATCGTACAAGACTCTCTAACAGGCCTGAAACTTGAGAGAGGCTCTGGCGACTTGTGACTCGTGTTAACAGAACAGGTCACACATGTGAGTTTTCATCATTTTCTCGCCACAAGCTTCTTTTGGGCATGTAGCTTGCAGTGTAAATGTGACGAACCCTCAATAGGAGAGAAGTAACCAAAAGTACAATGACCGTCCAGGTCTTGAAAGCAACATGCAATACTCACTTCATGTAGGGCATTGCCATGAAGAAATTGTTGGGATTAAGACCCAGGTTGATCTTTGGTGCATTGTCTTTCTTGTTGGTTGGCAGATCATCAATGTGAAACCATTTGACATCCTTAAGAAAGAGAAATTTGAAGAAGACGGTCATTTCTTGTTCTCACTTGTCAGGTCTTCCGTTGTTCTTCGTATATCGAGAAACAGAACAAAGAATTGCAGGCTATGTTGAAAGTTGTCATAACACCACAGCTGTATCCCACAACGTGAGGCCTTGCACGTCGCACGTAGCACAGCCTTGTGCACGTTCATTTACCCTGGGCTGGACAAAGCAATAGGTGACAAAGTGTCTTGGCTGGAGTTGAACCTACCCAGTGCAGTACTGCACACAACGTTCAGTGCCATCAAACAAAAGGCCACAGCACCCAGGATTACTGCTCCATGCTGCCCCTTCCCATTACACCTGATGTATAATTTGACGTGGAAATATCATAAAATTGACTTTTGGCAGGTAATTTGCATTATTTAATCACCCTTAAAAAGTAAAGAATTTGTAGTAAACATTCAAAATCATTCATCAGATGTACATGTAACAGGGCCAGGAGAAAAATTGGAACTCAAATTTTTAGAAGGACCCACGTTCGCTTCCCACTAAAATTTTATGGAGCAAGGGAAAGGCAGCATGTACCTCTGGCCCCATCTGAAGCAATGCTCGCCGATACGTACTTAGTCCGTGCGACAGAGCCATGAACTGTTCCCGGCAACATTTCAGTATGAACATGTATTTGACTTGCCTACAGATCCTCTGAACAACTGGTAACAACAAAAGTAGCAGCTGGCACGTGCTAATGAATGGACCAGTGAGAATTTGGCTCTTGGTCATGAATATGTATGAGGTATGATAATTTGCCCTAGTTACACCTCTGTTTTTCAGCGAAAAGGTCCTGCTTTCACGTCTGCATAGCGCCTGCACTTTTAAATGCTGCAGTGATCAAGCAGATTTAAAGGAAATAAAACACACTGAACGGGAAACAAAAAACAATTTATATTCTTACGTTACCTTAATTTCTCCCCTCGTTTTTGGTTTGAACTCAGTATTTACAGGGACGTTGGGCACCACGTACAGTCTCGCCAGTTGGTCATTGAATGTTGCTTCAATATACTCCTCCTCGTTTATTAATGTTGTGATGTCAAATCCAGTCTCTTCCAGCACCTGAAGGATGAACAATACTCAATCATTAGAAATTCACCTGTTTTGGATAGAACTGTAAGCATCACCAATCAGGGCCAAATGATGAGACATTTCAGTCATTTGCATAAGAAATATCAAACAACATTGGGAAAGTTATCTTCATCCATTTGACTGGCATTATTTTGTACAAATAATGGCCACCAGTCAAGTTGATGCCACACCAATTTTTCCTGGAAAAAACCTGACTGGCCAAGTTCACATTGGTATTTCCAGAAAAGCTCACTACAAAAGAAACCATGTCGGATGTTACTGATCAAAAATACTGAAATAAAGGGACTTTAAAGAAATAAAATTGAAGAGGAAATTGTGACATGTTTTGAGCAGTGTTGTCGTCGAGACCATCACAAGAACTGACACAGGACCAGGCACAAGATCTGTCACAAGACCAGTCACAAGTAACAGGGTGAACAATGACAAAGGAATGATTTTGTTGCAGTTTATTTGAATAATTTGTGGCTTGAATTCAGACTGGAGGTCTTGTGTTGGTCTTGTGCTGGTTTTGTGTGGTCTTGTGAAGGTCTTTAGTGGTCTGAACTACAACACTGGTTTTGAGGAACACAACATTTCCAGCTCTCACAATTGACATTTCAAAAAACTTACCGGCAAAAGGCAAGAAGAATGTTTAATTGAGAAGTGACAAGGGCCTACCCTGTCCGCAAGTCCCATCTGTACACTTACCTCTCTTATTGCACATTGTTTGGGCGACTCGCCTTGATTAACTTTACCCTTTGGGAATCCCCAGCTGGTCTTGCTGAAGAAGGCCTGCACCATGACAATCTTGGCAACACAGAAAAACAGTTTGAAATTATACATACACTGTGCTCGCAGGGTTGACCAAAGGCTTACAAAAAACCTCACAAGCTGACACGGGTGGGACTCGAACCCATGACCTCATGCTTATAGTTACTGGCGCAGACGTCTAACTACTCAGCCATCGAGCTTGCCATGGTCGACTGGCTGGGTCGAGTTGGACAAGCAGCGGGAACCGCGAGTATCCGTTGCAGAGAAAAAGCATATTAACCACTTGCTGCCAGGGAGCCCGGTTTTGGGCACACAGGCTTGATACAAGAAACCGGGGAGCCCGAAACCGGATAAAAGAGCTAGGCCTTATAACAAAAGACTGTAATCCGAACAAAAGACCAAGCTGCTGGGAATTGCTGACATTTTTTTCAGTTGTCAATAGAGGAGGAAACCTGTCATTGTTTTGCAAGATTATACCACTGTTTGTGGCATTCAGTGCGAGTGGATTACCACCGGGGACAAAAGCCCTCTGGCACTCCAAAGATGAGCGATACAAAACCACTGCATGCTAATTTTGCCCCATTGAAAAGATGCCAGCCGCACACTGTGCCAGTTTCCGGAACAGAGGAAACTTAAATAACACTGCACAACCTGGACTATTTTACAAGGAGGCAGGCCTGGCTGAAATACTCGGGCGTCAATAGATGTTGTCAGTCAGATTAGAGTAGCCACCAGACAGTCATTCGTTTGGGTGTAAACATCCAGTAAATGAAGTCCTGATTTTTTAAAGAATTTTGAGCACCAAAAATCTTGAAAATCCCCCGGCTTTACGTAGTGCAACTTCAAATTCAAGGATCCTACAGAACGAATGAGCATTCATACTGCAAACCGCTTCTTGTCCATTAAATTCACCTCATTTGGGGACTATGTCCTTGGAATAGGGCACTTCCTGTCTTTCAGTAAATGAATCTTTTTAAAGTTGTTTAACACAAGTGCTTCAACAGGAAGGAAGAGACAAACACAAGTACATTTCAAGAGGAATGAAGAGTGAAATTGAAAAGTGGCATCTTAGAATAGAAGATTTGAGCACATGCTGTATATAGCCACCCCTAGTTGAACAATATCAGTTCTTCCATTGCTTTACGAAGAGAACCTTGGGTTACCCTCTTTGATTCCTTTGGAAAAAAAGGAGAATTAAGCAGTGGGCCAATGATGAAGTTTGCATAAATTTATCATTTTGAGGATGTCAAGACAGTGAAACAAACAGATTGAATGATAAAGGAATTACACTGATTTTAAGATCACAATTTCTAAAAACTTTATGTGACTTCAACATTACTTCATGCTAAGATAAAGATCTAAATTATCTGAATTTCAAATTCCATAAATTCTACTTTTAGTTTAAAAATTCCCTGTGCACCAGGTCAGTAAGTGACTGTGTGGACTCGACCTAGACTACACATTATGTGTCAACACTGTAACAGAAATATTTGGGCGTTTGTTATACAGTCACAAGAAAATAGGCAGTGTGCCAAATATATGATGGCCTTTAAAACACACTTCATTCCATAGTTTTCACCTACATTTTGCAGAGTGGAGTCCAGCATGATGGCGCCGTAGGTTGGCACACTCATCTTGTACTCCTTCCATTCAGCGAAATGCTCATCCACATTGGCACTGTACTCTTTGAGAAAGGGACAATGCCTGAAAAGTGCAAACACAGTTAAGGTCAACTATGATGCTACACCAGACTCCAATGATGTAACTGTACAAGTAGGAATGACAAGCACAATTAGCACATGCACTACAAGGTGTAATAAGCAACCTTCAAAGGGTGAGCTTTTGCACTGGATCCATTTCAAGGAGCTGGTTAAGAAGGAAATTTAGCAAATAAACACTTGCTTAGCAAAGACAGGATACCAAGGTAAACTGTCATATGTTGTAAATTCTCACAACTGGTTATCCACTGATTTCTGCTAAGAAAGAAAAGTTCCTGAGCAGTGTAATTCTGCTTCCAGGGAGCAATATAAAATGTGAACCAGCTTTAAAGTCCGGCACAGCTGATGGAATAACTGTCAAGTGAGTGGGTGAAAGTCAAATCACATGCTGGTTTTGGCAGCACTGCTGGAGCAAAGGCTGTCAGTCAAGGCCAAGGCTTGGAACCCTGAAGCAAAGGCTTTGACCCCCAAGGCCTGGCTGAGGCCCTAATATCCAGCCTTACAAAAGTCTCATGGCAAAGGTTGAGCCTTAACCACTCGGTGCCAGGGTTTCCGGTACCGGGTACCTTGGGTTTGTACACATAGCCAGGGTGCCCGAAATCAGACAGCGCAGCTGGGCCTTGTAACAAAAGACCGTGCTTTGGAATAAAGACCGAGCTACTAGGAATTGCCATCATTTTTCAGCTGGTATTAGCAGAGGTAATCCGTCATTGTTTCGAAACAGTATACCAATGTTTGCAGCATTCAGTGCCCACGGATTATCAGCGGGGAAAAAAGCGCTCCAGCACTCCAGCAATGAGCAATACAGTACCATTGCATGCTCATCTAGCTGCATTTGAAAAGACACTGCTGCCATTCAACAACACACTGGGCCAATTTCGGGAACAAAGGAAATTCCGCAACACCACACAAGCTGGGCTCTCTTTACTTGGCGGCAGGACTGGCTGCAATACTCGGGCGTCAATAGAGATTGCCTATCAGATTAGAGTAGCCACCAGACAGTCATTCATGTGGGTGTACACGTCCAGTAAATGAAGTTATGAATTTTTGAAAAATTTTGAAAACGGAAAATCTTGAAAATCGCCTAGCACGAAGTGCTTCAGGTACAGTACTTCATCGCTAAGTCCAAGGTTAAAAAATTTCAGACATTCACAACCAAACTATACATGCTTATATACGCCAACCAATCTTCAGTAATGATAACGCTGATGATAATGAAATAAACAAAGCTCAAAAATAACAGGTATAAAAAAAATAAATTATTTAATATCAGATATCAATAAGAGACACCAGGTACACGTGGCTTCAGGTGTCCACAGCAACCACACTTCTGCACGTACTTGACCCTAGGCAAACCGCATATCTAGTTCAGGCTGTACAGCATGTTAGTAAAGGATATTGGCCTTGGAAAATTCCTTGATGCTGCAGCCAGGCAAGAAGTGTTTCTCTGCCCTGTAGAAGTCCAGGTAGAACCAGTGGGCTAGCTCAATCTGGAAGAACACACGGATCATGTTGTTCCTTTCCTCCGCCGGAATGTTGATCAAAAAGCGGCTGTCGGTGCAACAAAGAGGGCAAAGGTACCGTTAAATACCAAAAATATGTCATTTTTCTGTCGTTGTTGGGACTCCACATGTTGGAAGTCAGGCGTTGAAGGAACCCATCACTATTAACATAATGGGGACGATTTCGCCGCCACAACTCAATTCTGGCTTTCCCAACAAACTAGCTGTCCCTGCAACGCAGGGAAGGCATACCCACCTGCACAAAGAGTCCAATACATCCGGAGGGATGGCCACTGTGACCGACTGACCATCCATGACTGACCAGCTTCTAATCACAGTCTATGTCCAGTCAGTCACCACCTGCATCAGTCATGAAGAAGTCCCTCACTCAGGAAATACATGCATCTGTTGATGGTATCAAAACAATTCCAGGACTGAAAACACTGTGAAACTGATTACGTGAAAAATGTAGGTCTTTTTTTAAAACAAAACTTGAAAAACTTCATTCACAAATTTAGTGGTTCATAAGAAAGAAAGAAATATCCCAGCAGCAGGCTATTGCTAGGATACATACCTGTACATGTAGGTTACCCTTATCACAATATCTCCAACATCTTGGCTCAAGACGTCTCGTACACGTTAATCATAATTTACAGTGTCATGAAAGAAATAAGCTTGCTCCTGAAAAAAGTATTTTCTAAGAAGTAACCTTCAAATTTTGTTCATTGATGACTGATTTGTTATAAGGGTGGTACTTTTGTGGTGAGGAACAACATTCGCAAAGAATGAGTAAAAAGCACTCTTTTTTCCGGTCAGAATTTCAAAGCAACAGTCATGATACTGGGATGTTTCTCTACGCATTTTTCTTTAAACTATTCTGCAAGCAGTTCTTGTCTTCCTTCCGTTTTGAATAAAGATGGCTGATTTTTCCAAAATGGGAGACAGATTTTTGTCACTTGCATTAAATAACTAAATGATAGTTCAGTTACAAGATACCTTGAGAATTTTTTAAAAAGGAAAAGAAATTCCAGGACAAAGCAAGCGACAGGGACGAGACACAGCTTTCTTTATCACTTGGTCTCTCAAATACACTGCACAAAGATTTTGATTGATAGTGGAGTTGCATTTAAGGCTTCTCACATGTGCAATGGTGTGATTGGTCAGTCTGTGCAATCACTCCATCTAGGCATGATCGTCACCCTTGTTTCCAAACTACATGTATCTGTTGATTTCACTGTGACTTGAGACAATTACATTTTCTTTCTGGTTCATGGTTGGGAAGAATTTCATATACGGACGCCACTTGACATGCTGTACACAAACCCAATGAGACTGGTCGGAAAAATGTCTAATAAATATCTCTGTGTTTTCACAGCTAAGTTTGACTTTTTAAGACATTTTATTGCTTTTGATGGCTAAGAGGTCACTGCATGGAAAAATCAGTGGCGTTCATATAGAATTGTTTCCCACAGTCACAACAGTTGTAGTTGTGGAAAACTGTTTCAGACAAGAGCGGAAGGGACTACACTAAGGGACCAACGGATAGTGTGACACTATTGCGTCCAACCATGGAGGAATAATTGATCGACCACATATGCATTCTCTTGGTTGGCATAAGGTCACTGGGTCTTGTTTCTTGTCTGTGATTGGGTAGTGGTGGCTGTTATTAATTACACCCTCTGGACTCAATGGAGAATGACCAGTGTTGTGGTCAAAGAGAGGAAATATCTGAGCTACACCTACTGTCAGACTGTCCAATTAAACACTACATCTTTTGTTAAATATATTTCAAAATTTCACTGTTTTATGTAGAAAAAATACGTCTCACATTGACGTTATCGTATCCAACACGTAAACAAAATGGTGTATTCATTTTTTACAGGTGTAAAAAATTCTGAACGCGTAATTCCCAGTACAAATTGAATGAAGAGCTTCCCCTTTGCCTAATGCACGTGCAATAGACTAGGTTGGACAGGCTCTGACATGTCTGACCAAGAAAACACACTTTACTACATTTACATCCGCTGTTACAATTTACAAAACACTCGACAGGTTTCTGATAAGCCGATTTCTTGTTCCATCGCCATGTTGATTTCAGCACCCCAGCACAAGTAAGTGAACAAAGCTAGAGGGGAAAAAATTGTCTACAACAATAACAATCACGAGCGTCCATTCACCAAATTTTATGCAACTTTGTTGTCATGAATTCTTCCCCTCTGTCACGGTCATGTCTGTTGAATCTTCTGATCATGAACTCATGAAATGTAAAAAGGTTATAATTTGACGCCCAGAATTAGAAGCCATTACTACGGTGGCTCAACGCTCGTGGACAGGTGGTATGCGCGCGTTACATGCCTCGTCGACCAATAGGTTGTCGTGATTTGCCAAATGCACGTGCGCATCAAGCTGAAGAATGTGCGTGTGAGTGCGGTGCCGGCCACCGCAGTTAGGGCGTCCAATCGGATTAGTCTACACACATGTACATGTACATGTATAGGGGCCTCGTACACGTACATGAACATGCACTACTGGTACAGTGGTAGACACAAGATGACACTGATCACAAATATGAAATGCTTCAGAACAAAAGTCCATACTTGTTACTACTTAATGGAGCGTCATTAGGCTACTCCTAAGCCTTCTCGCAAATACTGCACATGCTGCATGGGTGATTTTGCACAATGGTAGACCTTGAAGGAAGGAATTGTGGGAAGGCAAAAGGAGCAAACATTGCCCCTTTTGCCTTCCACAATGCCTTGATGTGATAAGGCTTATGGTAGGCTTCACACTCAGCCTGAATCACAGTAGGCTTATACCACGTGAATTTTCTGCCCAATACTCTCCGCAAAGATATTTTGAATTTGGTTTCTTTATTTCGGTTAGCATGTTTACAGGTGTAGGCACAGGCCGGCTAATGTAACCACTGAGCCTACTTACTCAAGTTGTAGGTCTAGACATGGACTCTGGAGGAATAAAACACATGTTTTATTCCTCCATGGTCTAGATAAGTCATGATTATTGAAAGCAATTTACCGAATTATGAATAGACTAGTTGGTGAAGACATGGACGAAGGAAGGATGTACATGTTCGCGGACGGACGGCGAGCAGACATTCTTCACGTTTGCTTTGTTTACGTTTGTACATACAGGTACTAGGTATGTGCAAGCATTTTACTATGGTGTACTATTTACGACAAATATTTCTCTCTCTCTCTCTTGCCTCCCTCCAGGCGACGCAACCAGACGACGCGACGGCACGACGGCTCCCTTACGTCGTGCTGTCGGGTCGCACCATCGCCTTTTTGCCATTACTTTTGTACACACACGACGCGTCGCGTCGAGTCGTGCGTCGCGTCGTGCCGTCGCTCTGCCTTAGGTCCTTTCCATGTTGCATTTTTTGCCACCTGAACGTCGCCCCTTCCGTCGCCCGTCGCGTCGTACCGTCTTGCGTCGCTTCGTACGTCGTGTCGTGCATCGCGTCGCCTATTACGTCGCCTGAAGCACGACGCGACGCACGACACGACGCACGATACGACGCGTCGTGTGCTGTCGCCCTTTATTTCTTGGTGTTTATAGAGGGCGCCTCTACTGTTTTCTTTCATTTCCGCTCACAATACTTGAATAGTAGGGTACAGTCCACTAATTCAAGCCCTATTGAAAACAGTGTAAAATCGGCACTGTTCAGGGCTCAATAACATGCTTATCAACATCCTTGAGATTGCTGAAACACAAATAAAATTATTGTCTCGTCCCTAATCTTTCGATTTCCTTTCAATTTTTTGTGGGCGAACAAATTACATTTTTAATTATTCCCACAAAACAAAATCACCCCCGAAAAGTGATTTTTCTGAAGTTTTCAAGTGACAACCCTCAACCTTCTTGGGCACTTAGGACCATTTTTCAGTTGTAGTTTTTATCCATTCTGCTTTCATAGGATAGCTCAAAGACCCAGGCAGTAACGTTGATCCTGGCAACGACAATCTCACCATTTCGGGGGCTAAACAATCTCCTTTTTTAGAAAAATGCTTCGCTGCTACTTTTAATGCTAATGAGCTGAGCAGAAATTCTTACTTGAATAGTGGACTGCATGCACCAGGACATGGCATTCGCCCTTTGTTACGCTGCCGCCAGGGGCATGAAGAGCCTTGAACTGACAGCTTTTGAAATATTCTCCAATTGAGTAGTATAGATGATAGAAGAACTAATGCAACATCATGCCAAAAATTAATTACCAACATACACGGAAAAGCTGCAAGATCGAGGCTCTGCATGCCTGTGGCGGTAGCGTACAAAGAGCGAATAGGTAGCAGGTCTTGTTTTTGTTATTGTTAATTTTCATGGTTACTTTCTAACTTTGTGNTTTTCATTTAGAGTGAGATGTTGAAGAAAAGGTTTGTTTGTTTTTTAATCAAATGTAATTAGAAAGAGCGTCACGACCAACTATCAGCCTTGTCTCCAGGAAAAAACATGAGCCACAACGTTGTTTTAACTTTTCCTCCTCTAATTTTGATCTTCCTAATGATTATGTAATAAAATTAATTTTGTTCCCTTACTTTTTGAAATCCTAACTCCCACAGAATTAGGTCATACAATTTGTGTGAGTTGCTTTACAGAGTGTGTGGGGAGTTGGTAGCAGAACTTGTAACAAGAGTCCTTGAGAAGGAGCCGATAACTTCGTTCCCTAGCCAGTGACCTTCCACTTCACTTGGCTACTGGACTGAACAGAGACTGTTCTATTGTCACTTTGTGATTTCTCCTTCCATATAACCTGCCATACTTGCAAATTCGTCCCTGTCCTTCTCTAGGCAAAAACATTACCAGTGTAAGCCTATAAACACACATGCACACGTTGCTAGACAGTGGGTGGCCTGGACTAGAGCCACATGAATTCCTTTCCGAAACAAACCTGATTTAGTCGGGGGGGGGGAAGGAAAGACTGTGCGCTTGAACCCTAAACATCATATAGCCCAACACATCTCCGTCATCCATTCAAGCTCTTTTTACTGCAAGCCTTTTGACTGCAAACTCTACAGCTACTTGCCAAGTCATGACAAGCCAAGTCGTCCCCAACTTCAGCAATAGATCGTCTTCAAGCTAGGCCCTTTATTTATTTTCATTGCTAATTCATAATGTTTTCTGTAAAACAGAATCCCTGTTTTTTTCCTCATTATTAAAAAGATGCTTTCTCTAACGTTAGGGTATTTGTATTTTCGTAAACCGTGCGAAAACGTTTCACTATATTAGCCGGAAACGAGTTAATTCTCACTGGTTAGCTAATAATAAAAGGCGTAAACTAGTAAACAAATAAATAATATAAGCAGGTGTAATGATTCTCACATTATGTCCGCTACAGTATTTCTAAATCTATTCTAATATCAATACATCAATCATTATAACGTGCTTCCTAATGCAAGATGCGGATCAGAGGAGAAATTATACATGTGTGTGGCCAAACAGAGTTGAAAAAAGACACGGCCACAATGATGATAATAGCGTCTGTACAATGTTTTATTCAGAAACACGGACTAATGGCATTGAAAGTGTGGTGCTGATGAAGGTAACGAGGAAGACTGGCCTGAAGGAGGACTAAGACGGAATATTCTGATGGTATTACAGAACAGGCTCGGTGGTAACTTCCTAAACCCGTCGTCAAACTTGCGGTCATACAATTGTAGACAAATTGTCTCAGGAATTGGGACTACTACTTAGAAATTACCGGGATGGTAGATTACAAATCTACCACAAATGGGAACCGCATCGACGGGTATTAAAAAGAAATCATTGGCTGGGTTTAAAGAGTGACGAATTCTGGGCTTCCACGTATTATGAGAGAGCAGTTCCTACGTATGCCGATTTTCTTTTTGCTCTTTTTTCTTTCTCTTAATAAAATATGACAGAAATTAATCCTAATCGAGGAATGGATGAGATAAAAACAAGAGCAAATCAACACCAAAGAGTAAATAGCATGTATCTTGCAAGCACGGGGGACAGAAATGAAAGAAAACAGTAAAAGCGCCCTCTATAAACACCATGAAGCAAAGGGCGACAGAACACGACGCGTTGCGTCATGTCGTGCGTCGCGTCGTACTTCAGGCGACGTAATAAGCGACGCAATGCACGATACGACGTACGACGCGACGCACGACGGTACGACGCGACGGGCGACGGAAGGGGTGACGTTTAGGCGGCAAAAAATGCAACATGGAAAGGACCTGAGACAGCACGACGCGACGGGCGACAGCACGACACGACGCACGACGGTGACGGTGAAGGTGACGGTTCGACCCGTCGCGTCGTCTGGTTGCGTCGTCTGGAGGGAGGCAAGCGAGAGAGAGAGAGAGAGAGAGAGAGAGAGAGAGAGAGAGAGAGAAATGTTTGTCGTAAATAGTACACCATATTTTCATATACTGCATTAGCACAATGAGTCAGTTGTTTGGCTGCATGCCATTTAAGTTGTACACGTACGTACGCACACACCGTACCTGGGCCCATAACCAGCGCGCATGGCCCTAAGATACGTTGCGTGTCCAACACTCAGCTGGGAATACCCCTCATCGCAAAGAATCGATTATCTATAAAACAAAAATAGCACTTCTAATTGGAAATGTCGTAGCATCGATACTGGAACACCGACGGAAAAGATTTTTTAACAGATTAAATTTATTAAATGTGTTATTGTTGTATCTGTTTTTCCCGATCAGTCGTTATCTTTGACGCCTTTTCATGAAGCCACGTCGATTGTGTAACTGAACGTAAATGAGACGACAATTCTATTTTGCAACAAGCGCATTCCCTATCCCAAACGCTATTGTCAAAGCGTTGCGGGCATGTATCCTTCCAGTATCCCCTAGGGATTAGCCTCTTGGGTAAAACGCTACGTGATCGAGGCTACAAGTAGTCCTAACCGTTCCAACAGAACCTGTAAGAAATAATATTTAAAAAAAACCAATAATTTTTAAACCTCACAAGAATAAAAAAGCCCCTTTGCGGCACTNCATGTTTTCATTTAGAGTGAGATGTTGAAGAAAAAGTTTGTTTGTTTGTTTGTTTGTTTTGTTTGTTTTTTAATCAAATGTAATTAGAAAGAGCGTCACGACCAACTATCAGCCTTGTCTCCAGGAAAAAACATGAGCCACAACGTTGTTTTAACTTTTCCCCCTCTAATTTTGATCTTCCTAATGATTATGTAATAATTAATTAATTAATTTTGTTCCCCTACTTTTTGAAATCCTAACCCCCACAGAATTAGGTCATACAATTTGTGTGGGTTGCTTGACAGAGCGTGTGGGCAGTTGGTAGCAGAACTTGTAACAAGAGTCCTTGAGAAGGAGATGATAACTTCGTTCCCTAGCCAGTGACCTTCCACTTCACTTGGCTACTGGACTGAACAGAGACTGTTCTATTGTCACTCTGTGATTTCTCCTTCCATATAACCTGCCATACTTGCAAATTCGTCCCTGTCTTGCTCTAGCCAAAAACATTACCAGTGTAAGCCTATAACCACACATGCATACGTTGCTAGTACAGTGGGTGGCCTGTACTAGAGCCACATGAATTCTTTTCCAAAACAAACCTGATTCAGTCGAGGGGAAGGAAAGACTTTGCGCTTGAACCCTAAACATCATATAACCCAACACATCTTCGTCATCCATTCAAGCTCTTTTTACTGCAAGCCTTTCTACTGCAAACTCTATAGCTACTTGCCAAGTCATGACAAGCCAAGTCGTGCCCAAATTCAGCAATAGATCGTCCTCAAGCTAGGCCCTTTATTTATTTTCATTGCTAATTCATAATGTTTTCTGTTAAACAGAATCCCTGTTTTTTCCCTCGTTATTAAAAAGATGCTTTTTCTAACGTGAGGGTATTTGTATTTTCGTAAACCGTGCGAAAACGTTTCACAATATTAGCCGGAAACGAGTTAATTCTCACTGGTTAGCTGATAATAAAAGGCGTAAACTAGTAAACAAATAAACAATATAAGCAGGTGTCATGATTCTCACATTATGTCCGCAAATCTATTCTAAGATCAATACATCAATCATTATAACGTGCTTCCTAATGTAAGATGCGGATCAGAGGAGAAATTATACATGTGTGTGGCCAAACAGAGTTGAAAAAAAAGACACGGCCACAATGATGATAATAGCGTGTGTACAATGTTTTATTCAGAAACACGGACTAATAGCATTGAAAGTGTGGTGCCGATGAAGATAACGATCGAGGAAGACTGGCCTGAAGGAAGACTACGACGGAATATTCTGAAGGTATTATAGAGCAAAGTCGGTGGTAACTTCCTAAACCCGTGGTCAAACTTGCGGCCATACAATTGTAGACAAATTGTCTGGGGAATTGGGAGTACTACTTAGAAATTACCGGGATGGACCACGGAGAAATACCGGTATCCATAAGATTACAAATCTACCACAAATGGGAACCGCTGGGTTTAAAGAGTGACGAATTCTGGGCTTCCACGTATTATGAGAGAGCAGTTCCTACATATGCCGATTTTCTTTTTGCTCTTTTTTCTTTCTCTTAATAAAATACGACAGAAATTAATCCTAATCGAGGAATGGATGAGTTAAAAACAAGAGCAAATCAACACCAAAGAGTAAATAGCATGCATCTTGCAAGCACGGGGAACAGAAATGAAAGAAAACAGTAAAAGCGCCCTCTATAAACACCATGAAGCAAAGGGCGACAGCACACGACGCGTTGCGACGTGCGTCGTGTCGTGCGTCGCGTCGTACTTCAGGCGACGTAACAAGCTACGCAATGCACGATACGACGTACGACGCGACGCACGACGGTACGACGCGACGGGCGACGGAAGGGGTGACGTTTAGGCGGCAAAAAATGCAACATGGAAAGGACCTGAGACAGCACGACGCGACGGGCGACAGCACGACACGACGCGATGCGTCGTGTGTGTACAAACGTAATGGCAAGAAGGTGACGGTTCGACCCGTCGCGTCGCCTGGTTGCGTCGTCTGGAGGGAGGCAAGAGAGAGAGAGAGAGATAAATGTTTGTCGTAAATAGTACACCATATTTTCCTATACTGCATTAGCACAATGAGTCAGTTGTTCGGCTGCATGCCATTTAGGTTGTACACGTACGCACACACCGTACCTGGGCCCATAACCAGCGCGCATGGCCTTAAGATGCGTTGCGTGTCCAACACTCAGCTGGGAATACCCCTCATCGCAAAGAATCGATTATCTTTAAAACAAAAATAGCACTTCTAATCGGAAATGTCGTAGCATCGATACTGGAACACTGAAGGAAAAGAATTTTTAACAGATGAAAGTTATTAAATGTGTTATTGTTGTATCTGTTTTTACCGATCAGGCGTTATCTTTGACGCCTTTTCATGAAGCCACGTCGATTGTGTAACTGAACGTAAATGAGACGACAATGCTATTTTGCAACAAGCGCATTCCCTATCCCAAACGCTATTGTCAAAGCGTTGCGGGCATGTATCCTTCCAGTATCCCCTAGGGATTAGCCTCTTGGGTAAAACGCTACGTGATCGAGGCTACAAGTAGTCCTAGCCGTTCCAATAGAACCTGTAAGAAATAATGTAAAAACCCAATAATTTTTAAACCTCACCAGAATGAAAAAGCCCTTTGCGGCACC